GGCAATGCCTACAATTTGACATTACATCTCTCATTTCTTAAAACTTTAAAGGTTGCCTAATCTAATTAGAATAAAATAGAAATGCCTTGTCATTCATAACCAGAACACCATGGGATCTGACCCACCTGCTTCTGGGACCCCATGACTAATAAGAACCTTCCAGTCACCCTGGATTTCTTTCAGTGGCCAAACTGGCCCATCTTCAAGGCCCAGGACAGACACCACAACCTTCCCGCCCAGAGGCCCACTTCCGCCTGCCCCAGGCTCCTGCCCTTAGCTGCTGATGCTGTCCAGGCTCCCTCCAGGTTTCACACGTCTGCCCCATGATCTGAGCAGCAGTCCTCTCCCGAGATGGCCTGGTTCTAACTGCCAGCACTGAAGAACAGGGCGGCCAGACATCTCTGTCAGTCTTCACCTCGTTACACCATTTTCTTTTTATCACTTACCATGGTTGGAAATTATCTCGTATATCTATTTATTTAAGAGTTTACTGTTTGTCTGCTTCCATTAGCATGTAAGCTCCATGAAGGCAGAGACTTTTTCCAAGGCAGCTACAAATTGTCCAGATAAAAAGCAACTTACAAAGCCTTGTGGGCCACATGTTCACTGCAGCACTGTTCACAACAGCCAAGACACGGGGACAGCCTGTACGCCCGTCGATGGGTGAGTGGACAAAGAAGCTGTGATGTATACACACAATGGAGTATTAGTCATCCGTGAAAAAGAAGAAAACCCTGCCATTTGTGACAACATGGAAGGACCTAGAGGGTTTTGTGCTCAGTGAAGTAAGTCAGAGAGATACTGTTTGATCTCACTTGTATGTGGAATCTAAAAACAATTTAAAACCTCACAGGGGTTTGTCCTTCAGACTCTTTCGTCTCACTACTCCCTATCACAGCAAACGGAAAGTTACAAACTTTAAAATCTGCTTCCATTTCTTTCCAGCTTCATCAGCCTCTGGCAGAGACCGGGTGAGGGATCCCTGTTTTATGTGACACTTGCGTCGCCCAGACCAGGCACCACGCTCTCCCCGCAGCAGTGCTGTTCCCTTGTCACAGATGAGTCCCCAGTCCCCACACTGCTCCAGCTACCTCCCCACACACACCCGTTGCAGGGGAGTCGCTGAGAACAGCCTCTTCTTTGCAGAGTCTCCTCGCACTGAGGACTGAAGTGAAGGGACGATTTCTAAAGAGGAGGTTGCCTGCAGGGACGGCCCAGTCTTCTACAGGACCACCTGAGTGCAGTTACATAGGACGGGCCTGATTTGCCTCAAAAGAACAGCATCAGCCTTCCGACTCAAGGATCTGATTAAGTGAAACCTGCAGCTCATAAAACTCGAGTCTCCATTTCACCTTCTGCTGCTCAGATGCCCACAGCTTCTGGCACAGTCTCCCTGCTCTTCAATGGGATTCCAAAGGCAAAGTGTGTGATCCGATGGCTTTTAGGACTGTGAAACCTAAATGCACAATCTCACAACAATGCAAAGTCTTTCCTTAGCTGGAAAATTGTTAACAGTTGATAAAAAACGTTAGTCAATTTGAAAACTGCATGGAGCATCTGTAGTAGTTTCTGTAAGCTATCTGCTGTGATTATTTCAAACAGGTCTGCAGTACAAGGTCCCTGAGCACTGGGTCTGTTTCTACATTATCAGACCCATTAACACTCGAGTAACCAGAGGGCCAAACTCAAGCTCAGTGAAGTGTGTTTTAAGTGTATGAAACCTTTCCTCTGAGCCGCGGCGTTCTGGAGGAGGCTAGAGCACTAGAGAATCAATAATTAATTGGCAAAATGCTCCTCCTCCTCTTCAGGCATTATTACAGCAAAACAACACTAGACTCAAGAATAAAGTTTAATGACTGCTTCTTTCAAGACTCTTGCAAATTAAGAAAGGATACAGTAAATGCAGGCAAAGAAGTGAAATTACGGACAATCACAGAGGCTTCACAACCAGGTATAGCACATCCTTGGTCACGTACTCAGTAAATGTCTACAAACACAACAATGCACCTTGTGCCCCAGTTGCCTCTACCATCCTGGAACCTGAACTTGCCGAATCATCCCTGCCTGCAGTTTAATACTGAAGTGTGCTGCAAAACGCACAATAGCTGGAAGGTCGTATACATCCAACCACTGTCACATGTGAAATTTTGCTCAGAATTAATATTTAAATGAGATGAGGCTTCAGAAGAAAAGATGCCAGCTTGGCAAACTTCCAGGCATGTGAAACTTTGCTCACTTATCCTCAATATCAGATTGTCAGACTATAGGTAAGCCTACATAAACTCTACTTCTCATGAAGAACAACAGTTCCATGAAATAGGCTTTGAATGTGGAGTTCCAGGTGCTTTCCAAACTGTTGATTTTACATACTAATGATTCTAGAACAATGCTGATGTCATGTTAAGCTATTCTGTTACCTAACTAGCAGCTGTTATGAAAGAAAATTGAACTTTATCCACCAAGGAAAGACTGATTCATGTTGCTGATAAAGCAGCTGTTATGAAAGAAAATTGAACTTTATCCACCAAGGAAAGACTGATTCATGTTGCTGATAAGTATGTTTCTTTAAAATAGTAATATTTTGTCTTTATCTTTTGTACCCTCTGCATGTTAATAATAGATACGAAGGTTGCTCCGACATACCAACTTTTTTATTGAAGTAGTTGATTTACATTATATGTTACAGGTATGTAAGTCACAATTTTTAGAGGTTACACTCCATTTAGTTACTATAAAACATTGGCTGTATTCCCTGTGCTGCACAGTACATCCTTGTAGTTTGTCTTCCATGTACATAGCAGTTTCTCTCTCTTAGTCCCTTGCCCTGTATCGCCCCCTTTCCCTCTCCCCACAGGTACCAGTTGCGCTCTGCATCTGTGGGTCTGCTACTTTCTGTTTTATTCACTAGTTTGTTTGATTTCTTAGAGCGCCCATATAAGTGATATCATACAGTATTTGCCTTTCTCTGTCTGACTTATTTCACTGAGCATAATACCCTCCAAGTTCATCCATGCTGTTGCAAATGGCAAAATTTCATTCTTTTTTATGGCTGAGTAGTATTTCACTTAATATATATACCACAACTTCTTGTCAACTATACAGTGAAAAAAGAAACTCCCTGCTGTTACTGTACATTAGCTAATCTTACAAACATTGAGTAAACATTATCAAACATCAAAAACTCTTCAATGACTCTCAAGTGTAGACTGAACAACACACTTCTAAATAACACCCACGGCAAAGATGAAATCTCAAGAGAAATTTACAAAGCTTAAAAAAAAAAACAACCAAAGGTATAGTTGATTTACATTATATTAGTTTCAGGTGTATTTGTAGTGATTTACAATCTGTAAAGGTTAAGCTCCATTTAAAGTTATTATAAAATATTGGCTATGTTCCCTGTGCTGTACAATATATCCTTGTAGTGTATCTATTTTATACATAGTATTTGTACCTCTTACTCCCCTACCCCTGTGCTGCCCTTCCCCCTTCCCTCTCCTGATTGGGAACCACTACTTTGTTCTCTGTATCTGTGAGTCTGCTTCTCTTCTGTTACATTCATTAGTTTCATTTCTTAGATTCCACATAGAAGCGAAAATATAAGAGTATGTATTCTGTCTCACTTCACTGAGCATAATAGGTCCATCCATGTTGCTGCAAATGGCATTATTTCATTCTTGTTATGGCTGAGTAATATTCCATTGTGTATATACCACATTTTTATCTATTCATCTGTTGAAAGACACTTAGTCTTGGGTATTGTAAGAGAGTATTAGTTTCCTATTGCTGCATCCAAATTAGCCCCAAATGTAGTGGCTTAAAACAGCAAACACTTGTGATCTCATTTTCCGTGAGTCAGGAATCTGGGTAAGCATTAGCTGGGTTCCTCCACCTCAAGGTCTCTAGCAGAGTTGCAATTACGGTGTTGGCCATGACTGCAGAGTCATAGGAAAGCTTGACTGGGGAGGAGCTGCTTTCACGTTCACCCCCACGTTTGTTGACAGGATTCAGCTCTTCATGAAGCAGGGCCTCACCTTCTCAAGGTTAGTGGCCAGAGGATGACCTCAGCTCCTGCCACGTGGGTTTCTGTGTAAGGCAGTTGTCAGGATAGCAGCTGGCTTCCTCAGAGGGAGTAAGAACAATGCGGGTGGAATCTAATTTTTTAAAAACATAATCTCAGAAGCTCTATGCCTGCACTTCGGTCTTATTTCATTCATTTTATTCATTGGACGTTGGTCAGTAAGCCCAGCCCACACAAAAGGCAACAGGCTTTAATAAAAAAGGCATGAACGCCAGGAGGGGATCACTGGGAGCCACCTTCGAGGCTCCCTACCACGAAAAGGAAACGAAAGCCGTGTAGCAGTGTCACTTCGTATTAGGCGGCATGGCTGGGACCAACTGGGAGGACAAGGCAGCGGACCTCCAAGCTCAGAAATTAAGAAGAGCTCTTTTCCCAAACCTCAGCTGCGTATGAGACACGGCGTAAACAGGGGTGCAGGGCGGAAAGAATGAAGGGTCTCCACCCAGCAGGAACTGCCCCTCGGTGTGCGTGACAAGGGCTCAGACCGTGAGAGCCGGGGGCGGCCGGACAGGGGGCGTAGGGGGCCGGGACGCGGCGGGCGGAGCTCGGTCAGCACCCACTCCGTCGGGACTGCGGGTCCCCGCGCCCCACCCCTGGGGCTGCAGTCCCGGGTGTCGCCCGGCTATCGGGGCGTCCCCGCCGGCAAGGCTACCCGCGCGGGGAGCTTCCCCCGGGGCGCAGAGATGCTCCCTCATTACTAGGAAATTCTTACACTTTTTGAAAGAACTTTCTAGACTTAGACCGAGGTTCTAATCATGTTCCAATGCCACGCTGAAAAGAAAACACGCACTAGCTGGCGTAACCCTAGGGGCCCTTTACGCTTTCCGCGAACTCCTGGCTCCGATCCACACAGAGCGCGCCCCGCCCCGCCCCCAGCTCCACACGCACGCGCGCCACCTCCGCGCCCGGGGAGGCCCGCGCGGCGTCCGCGCACCTGCCCGGACGCACGCCTATGACGTCACGCCGGCGCGGGCTCTCCCAGGCAGCTGCCCCTCACGCAGCGTTTCCGCCTCGCGCGTTAGCCCGCCGCTCCGGTGTGCGGCTCAAGTCAGCTTCCCCGAGCTCTTCCTTCAGCCTCTTACTCTGCATTAGCGGCTGCGTCTCGGGCAGCCGGAAGCCGCCGGGCGAGTCCGCGGCGACGCGCCGGAAGCCGCCGGCCGGAAGCTGCGGGGCGGGCGGTGGCGCTCCCGGAAGTGGCGCGAACGTCGCGTGCGTGCAGGCGGTGCGTCCGGCTGCAGGAGAAGATGGCCGTCTCCACAGGTCGGTTACCGGCCGGCCGCCTGCTTTCCCACCCCGACCCGCGCTGCGCCTCCGCCTGCCGCTGGCGGCCGGCCCGGCCGTGTGGGAGAAGCCAGAATCCTGCCTCTCCGCCGCCGGGCTCCCCGCGGAGCGCAGCGGGGAGCAGGGAGGATTCGCGTGGCCGTCGGGGCGGCGGTCGTGCCCGCCCGTCGGCCGCGCGCTCGGGGACCAGGCTGGGCCGGGGGCCGGCGGGCGGGGTCCCGCGGGCGGTGTGGGAGCGAGGAGAGGATCCCGGGCGGGCCGCGTCCACCTGGGTGCTGAAGGGCTCGCGTGGGGTCCTGAATGGAGCGGATCCCATCCCCCGACTCGCCTTGATGTGGACGGAGGCGGACCGGACCATTCTTACCTGAGTGTGTCTTGTCTTTATTTGAGTCAAAAACTGCGGTGCAGAGTAAAAGCGCAGAGCGAGGTGGAAGCTAATTGAAGAAAAAGCGGCTTCTTAGATTAGCTGTTCAACTGCTGTGTCGTGCTGAACACAATTTCGGTTTCCTATGAATACAGACTTCAAGTATTAACACTGAGGTTTTAGGAATTTGACCGTTAAAAGGTTGTGAAGTTTGAAAGGCTGTTTTATAGCTTTAAAATGTTAATACATATGGTCTTTCATTTATCCTTATTGTTTAAACCAGATTATAGAATAGTGCCATATTTCATGCCATCGTTGCATAATAAAACGAATTTTCAATTCTATAGGCGCTAAAATGGAAGGCTTCAGGGTATATTATTTGATACTTACAAGGTAATAACCATTCTACATCCATTTTAGTGAAAAATTCTGTCTTTTAGATTCGTTTTTCATTACTTACAGTTGTTGGAGTAAGATCTTGAACAGTTTTAGTGCTGGGGAAATATTTCGGTATACTTGACGTCAGAACCAATTAATAAAGCATGGATAATTTAAAGAGTGACCTTTTAGTAATAAAATTTTAATTACTGACCCTGCTGTTTGAAATCGAATGTGCTTGTGAATGGGGCCATGTCTTTTAGAGTTGTGCTTAGTACCTACCTATAGGCTTTTGAAAATGTAGTGATGAAGTGGTATATTTTAATTTGATAATTTTCACTTTGTGGATTTCATTTTTTATTTAAACATGGTACCCCCCCTAACATTGTACGTATAAGAGAGTGTAGAAATATTTTGAGAAGATTAGATTATGTTAATGGCAGATACTTTAACCACATACAGTCAGTCTTGGAATTTGAATATAAACTATAAAAAGTTACTGATTATTAGTATATTTATTGTACATTGGAAGCTTGCATTTTGTAGTTTATATTTCAGATATCTAATTGTTACATTTACACTGATTTTAGATTTATAAAATTTGATACCTTAGCACAGTTAAAAAATCTATTTTAGGCAGTTAATTGATGTTTTCTTAAACCACTGAGATTTGTTTTGAAACTGTTGCTAAAAATCCCCCTGGCCAATTTCATATCCCACTTACTCCTTTTGTGTAGTTTACATCATTGACAGTATTCTCCAACTGGGGAGAAAGGAGTGCAGAAGCAGTTTTGGACTATGTTTTGAAACTATTTTAAAATTATACTTTCTATTAGCTATACTTTTGTTTGCTTTTGGTACCATGGGAGGGAAAAAGTACCTGTGTAGTTGTGAAATTTTAAAGTAGGTGAGCTAGATAGATGTACTGTACATGTTTTCTATTTAATCTTGATAAATAATTGATAGGCCAAAAAGGAAAAACACCTGGCAAATACTTTTTGATCTTTATTAAAACATCATTTTTTAATGTGCATTATCTTAAGTCACATGCTTTTACCCTTTTCACTGGAGGAAAAACTGGGGAGGGGGATTCTAATTAGACTGAGACTTCTGAGCTGAAACACACTCTGCCCTACCACCCAGTCCTCTTGTTTTGCAGATGAGAAAACTGAGGCCTGAGGAAATACAAGGTTTTATGTAGTTGTCTAGTAGCAGAGTCAAGATCAGAATCCAAGTTTTTTTTTCTTTTACTCAGTCTAGTGCTTTTTCCATCATGAGGAACTATGATTTTTGAAATAATCCTGAATTTAGGAATTTTACTCCTTTTTAGGCTTGAGAGTGGCTTTCATACTTTGCTTCCCAGCAGAAACCTTGTTTCAGACTCTTAAATGGTTCATGGTTGAAAGCAGGGCTGTGGTGGAGACCCCACTGGCTAAGTTCCCCTTTCCCAAGAGACAGTCACCTGTGGGGCAAGATGGTTTCACATGACACAGCTTAAGAAACATTACTCTAGGGAATAGAAATTTATTAGTATATTTAGTACTTGTGATTCAAAAATTTGATTCTATCCCAGCACTAACACAAGAATTAATGTTAAATAAAAAAGTATGTGCAGTACTTAAATTTTTAATTTTCGAACAGTTCTAGATTTACAGAAAGACCGTGAAGGTAGTGCAGAGAGTTCTCATGCACTCCCTTCAATTCCCGGTTGTTCACATCTGACATTAGTATGGGGCATTCGTCAGAATTAATGAGCCAGTCTTGACACATTTATCATTAACTAAATGTGTTCAGGGTTCTTTAGTTTTTGCCTCATGTCCACTTTCCGTCCCAAGATCGGATCGCATCCAGGATATACTGTAATGTGAAACATTAAAAAATTTTTCTTACCACTTAGTTATACTACTGTTACAGTGGAGGTCTCGTTTCTGAATGCAGGTGATTGTAAATGTCTTTTTGTTGTTGTTGCCTCTTTTTTTTTGTTAGTTTTATTGGGGGGAGGTAGTTAGATTTTTTAAGTTTACTTATACTTGGAGGAAGTGCTGGGGATTGAACCCAGGAACTCGTGCATGCTAAGCATGAGCTCTACCACTGAGCTATACCCTCCCCTATAAAATGTCTTCTAAGTTATGAAGGGCTCAGAAAAAAAATGGAGTATTTTTTTCTTTGATGGTAGGTCTATGTAAGGCATCTGGGTTGAAAACGAAACCAAAATAAAACCTAATTACCTTTTTCAGCAGTGGTCAGTATTATGTGTCCTGGAACAGGAACTTGGTTAGCAGTGTTTTAGTTCCTCTGCTGCCTAGGAGGTTACTGTGCCATGCTCGGTGTGCCTCCAGGTCTTCTGAGCCTTACTTACCCATCCTCTCTGTGGGAAGTTCGGGCAGTAGGATTTTGCTTGTTTTCTCCGTCTGCAGGATGGAGCTGTGTGGATGTGGGCAGACCTTGGGAGTAGCAGCAGAAGAGGTTTGCCACTCGTGTTCTGACTGATGGTTCCGATGACCAGGTGAAGGCTATTTTACATGATGAACACGTGACAGAGGGTTGGGGTCTAAACCCTGCCTTGCCAGGTGAGAGGTTTAACCTCACATTAACGGTTATGCAGCCAGATAGCAGGCATGCTTCAAGCAGCATATTCTTTGTAAGTACCGTAAGTAGGCCATAGACTTTTCAGCCTAGTCACGGAATGTTACTGAAGAGTACAAGCAGTGCAGAGCTTGGTGTACTGTCTGTCATTCATGCTGTTGTCAGCTGCCGCCTGGATTATCAGTTGTGGTTTACTAAACACGGTTGCTGTAAGTGACTGTTACCTGAGAGGATATAGTTAAGTTATTGAAAACTTTTTCATTTTGTAGAATGTTTACGCTACCAGAGGCGACCTGGAGGGATGTTTACATTGTCTCCAGTTGCAGCTCCCGGAGGCATAGGAGAGCCTCACACACTCCAGTGAGTGGGTGGGTGAGTGGTCTCCGTCAGAGGAAGACCTCACATCTTCCCCGGGGTCCTCACTTCCCTCGGAAATCCGTGCTAGAGAAGAGCCAGAGGCTGCTGTAGTTGACTGACTTTCTTCCACTCCCTGGTTTATTCTAAGGGAAACATTCCTTCTTAGTTCTGAAGTAGACGTTGTTAGCAGCTTTCCTGGAGAATTTAAGTAACTTGTGTGTTCCCCCTGGTTTGTCTGTCTCGTTGGGGTATCTGTAAGGTGTCCAGCAGGTTCTTTGGTGACAGCTTGTTGCATTTGAATGCACCTCCCTACATGGTTCTCTTCTCACCCCCCCACCCGCCGCCACTGCCCAGATGAAGGGGTATGTTCATGTCAGCAGCACCTGCTCAGGACGGGCCTGTAAATATTGACAGAGGCTGAAAGTAAGCATCTCCGTAAAGTCCCACGTATTTACTGAGTGCCTCTTGTGGTGCCATCATTTCTTACGGTACGGTTTCCATGTAAGTGAGTTAATAATAAGGAAACAGATGAGTTAAGTCAAATCTAGCTTTCCCCCTTTGTATATTACAATGTTCCACTCATAATTTTTCCTTTTAGTTTACTTTTCTGAAGTGAAACAGGACTAAAGGAGTATTTTGTGTTCAGATACGTTCATTGAATAAACTCAGGAAGTGGCCTGTGTTCTCCTTGTCCGAGTTGGTGCATGCACCGCCCGTCGACTGTAAGAATAGTTGCCGAGTGTGGGGGAGTGGCTGGGCAGGGTGGCTTTGGCTGTAACCTGGAGTCCCAGGAGCACAACTCGCAGTCTGCTCTAGTGATGCCTCCAAAACACGGGATGAAGTACTGTGCAATCCTCTAACCCAAAGGTTGTTCTACTTCAGAAGGCATAGCACAGATGCTTCAGCTATACAGCATTTAACTTGAGATTTTTCTTCAGGTTTATCTTTTCTACCATATTTCATCAATTCTAAAACATTTTAGTGTCTGAAATGAATTTGTGTCCTATAGTTTAATTGGCAGTGTTTTTAAAGTTTTTAAAATTATGATTAAAAAAGAAAATTAAAAAATTCATCATATAGTTGATGCCATCTAAGATTTGATGAAAAGCAATATTTAAAAATTATTAAAAAGCTGTCAGTGAGGTGAGTATATACCAGATTTTAAAATACTGGGTTTTACAAACATATTAACATGTCTTCTCGTTTATTAATTGAATATTAAGCAATTTGTTATAAATTTAAACTTAAATGTATTCCATTGAAATAATTTTTAACCTCAGTCATTTTTTGCAAT